GTTTTACATAGAAATATATAGAACAAATCTTTAAAAATCTTCTTTTCAAGAACCACTGGGTAAGAAAAGCTGAAACTTATGTTGAAGCATCTTTTGGTAATGTAGATTCTAAATTGATAAAATCATGACCTCCGGGGGTAGGGCGGGGCCACAATAGGGAATCCAAGTTTTACATAGAAATATATAGAACAAATCTTTAAATATCTTCTTCTCAAGAACCACTAAGCCAGGAAAGCTGAAACTTATGTTGAAGCAGTCTTGGGTAGTGTAGATATTAAATTGTAAAAAGCATGACCCCCGGGGTTAGGACGGGGCTACAATAGGGAATCCAAGTTTTACATAGAAATATATAGAACAAATCTTTAAAAATCTTCTTCTCAAGAACCACTGAGCCAGGAAAGCTGAAATTTATGTGGAAGCATCCTTTGGTAGTGTAGATATTAAATTGTTAAAGTCATAACCCCTGAGGATAGGGCGGGGCCACACCAGGGAATCCTAGTTTTACATAGAAATATATAGAACAAATCTTTAAAAATCTTCTTCTCAAGAACCACTGGGCCAGGAAAGCTGAAACTTATGTGGAAGCATCCTTGGGTAGTGAAGATATTAAATTGTTAAAATCATGACCCCCAGGGATAGGGCGGGGCCACAGTAGGGAATCCAAGTTTTACATAGAAATATATAGAACAAATCTTTAAAAATCTACTTCTCAAGAACCACTGGACCAGGAAAGCTGAAACTTATGTGGAAGCATCCTTGGGTAGTGTAGATTCTAAAGTATTAAAATCATGCAAGGGGAGGGGGTAAGGGGGCATGATAGGTATAGCAAGAGGGAAAATTTGCTAAAGATCTGCTTCACCCAAGTTACTCAGGTGAGCGATGTGGCCCATGGGCCTCTTGTGTTTAATTATTTCTGACGTATTTTTGTCCTCCCTTCTCTAAAGTAACTATGCATTCCTCTCCTTGCCCCAATAATCCACCTTATTCCTATCATAACCTTATTGTCTTGATTTGCTCTTTGATTTTCCAGCTAATAATGTTGTAATGATTATGATCATTTGAGTTTCTTTGATTATTACATTGCTTTGAATTATTGCTTATCTTCTCTCCATCAAGTATTTTAAAGGGATTTGACAAGGGAAGAAAGAAGAAGACCAGTGCTGACCAAGAGAAGAAGAAGAGTCCATTGCCAAGCTTTGTCCAGCAGCCAATATCTGATAATGGAGTGAGTAAAAAGCTCTTTTTTTCACAATTTTCAAATTTTCTTTATACACTTATTCAAATCATAGGTTCAGGGTGATTTACTTCTGCAGCACAACAGCAACCATGTTGCAATCTAAAGCATCCTGAGGATGTCTTGATTCAAATTAGGTTACATCATGATCCCGTTGGACTAGGATTAGTAAAAATATGAATTAAGATTTTTTTTTCTTCTGATGACAAGGTCAAGATGATTGAGATGAACATTTTGGCACAAGGTCTCCTTCATTATTTTCAATGATCTTTAGATTTTTCTTTGTTAACAGGCAGAAGATGAGACTGACCTCAACTTGTTAACAAGACTGGAGATGAAGGGCTAACTACTGTCTAACCTGAAATCTTTGGTAAGTCAGTTGTATATCAAGCTCGAGACCTTGTGTTATGTGAATTAAATGAGATTATGACACTCGCATTTCTTGAATTTCTAGTTTCTTTTTTTTTGTTAATAGGTAGGGGTTTATGCTGGCATTGATCCTGTTTCCAAAAGCAGCTCGCCATGTTTCTGTGAGAGTCCAGAGATCAGCTAGAACCTGAAAATAAAGGTAAGATACAAGCTCTGCAAACTCCTTCTAATCTGTGAAAATATGTTAGCCTTTTTTCATTTATTAAGATTTTATTAATATTTTTAGCTCTACTGGTCAGAGACCAGAAGAGCTTATGCGATAGTAATGCGTCCGTCGTCCGTCCGTCTGTCTGTCTGTCTGTCTGTCTGTAAACAATTTTTCAAAATGCTACTCCTCCTACAGTGTTGGTCCGATTTCAATATAACTTGGCACACAAGTAGACTACACTAAGATACATAAATTCTGTGCATCGGTTTTCGATTTCGATGAACGGTGTTGCCATGGTTACTAAAAATAGAAATTTCTGTGAAATTCTTTCAAAATGCTACTCCTTCTACATTTTTGGTCCGATTTCAATATAACTTGACACACAAGTAGACTATACTAAGGCCAAAAAAAAAAAATAGTCTTGTTTCCTGCTACCCGACCGACCCTATTTTTGGGGGCCGACCCTAAAGTTTTTTTTCTGATTCGGAAAAAAAAATCGAAATATTTCCGGAATTTGTCGTTCTGTCACCGTTTTCGGTTCCCGTGTTATAAATACAAAACAAAATGGCGGCGGCCATTGAAAGAGACCAGGCTTGTGTGCTCTCTGTTATTTTGGAACGGTGCGCCACAAGGACAAAAAACAAGCGTAATAACAACCTTTTCGAGTACTTCCACTTTAAATGATAATTTATATTTGCCAGGTATCATGAATTGAAGAATAAATGCACTGAATTAATGATGGAACGATTGTCGGCGACAATCGATTGTCGGTCGTTAGAAGCTGTTCAATGCTACATATCGATTATAAAATAAATGTCGCCGACATCGCTAACAAAAAACAAAACTGTCATACTTTAATTTTATTACCAAATCCAAGTGCAAAGAGCATAAAAGTAGTGATGAATGTTGAAAACATGGAAGGTTTCGTGTCTTGTTGATACTTTTATCGCCGTGATTAAATATGAGGTTAAACTAATGCCAGGAAACGGTAATATTGCAAGTAAAGGAAAACAAAATTAGTCTAGTCAATCTTTAAACGTAATTATAATCATAAATACAATTCTAACTTCTTGATAAATACTTTTACAACATACAAATTTAACTAATTAAAACCAATTTTGAAAAATAAATACGCACATGTATTAAATGAGAGGTGGGACTAATATCAGTAAAATACCCATTGCATGGATTTTATGAAAAAAAAATAAATTCCCATTCTGTTTCAGTAGTCCTATTATTGTTTAAAGTAAACAAAATACTATTTTCCATTTTTTAAAAAGAAATTTCAATTAACATTTTTGAATATTTTATGTAAGTGAAAAAGGAAAGAGCTTTCTACACAGTGTACTGTATATTATAAAATACCACTTGAGTTGATGTGCATCAAGATATGAAATTTAATTGTAAAAGATTATTTTAAGTGACTTGTGATATGTTTAATTTGATCATGTATTCAGTTCATATCCAAAAAAATGCCGTTGTAAAAAATAAAATAAAATAAAAAAATAAAATAATTTTCCTACCTACCTACCCTATTTTTTTTAGGCTGGTAGCAGGAAACAAGACTATTATTTTTTTTGGCCTAAGATACATAATTCTGTGCATCGGTTTTTGATTTCAATGAACGGTGTTGCCATGGTTACTAAAAATAGAAATTTCTGTGAAATTCTTTCAAAATGCTACTCCTCCTACAGTTTTGGTCCGATTTCAGTATAACTTGACACACAAGTGGACTACACTAAGATACATAATTCTGTGCATTGGTTTTTGATTTCGATGAACGGTGTTGCCATGGTTACTAAAAATAGAAATTTCTGTGAAATTCTTTCAAAATGCTACTCCTCCTACAGTTTTGGTCCGATTTCAGTATAACTTGACACACAAGTACACTATACTAAGATACATAATTCTGTGCATCAGTTTTTATTTTGATGAGTGGCAGTACTTTATTTTCTATTTATTGCTGATTTAAAGTCTCAAGTCCCAACTGCTACTCTTCTCTTACTTTGTTTTAAGTATAAACCAGTAGAGCTACAGTCTCGACAGAGACTTCTGGTTTTGATCCCTCATGATTTGTTATCTTTACAGACAGACTGCCATCAATTTTGTTTCTTTGACAGCAGACAAATATGCTTCAACAATAGTGCAGAGATTAAGGTTTGGGCTGCAAGTGATGGACACACTAAAGAGCTAAACTCACAGAATTCAGTGGACTGTGCTGAGTACATTAATTGTTATCAGAAAGTGATGGACACACTAAACAGCTTACCTCACAGAATTCAATGAACTGTGCCGAGTACATTGTTATATTAAAGTGATGGACAGTTGGACACACTAAATATCTTAACATGTAGGATTCAGTGCACTGTGCTGAGTAACTCTTATCAACACAGTGATGGACACACTAAACAGCTTAACTCACAGAATTTAATGGATATTGCTTGAGTACATTGTTATTACAAAATGATGGACACAGTAAATAGCTTGACTCCAGAATTCAGTGGACCGTGCTGAGTACATAACTCATAAAGGATAACTCCTGACATATTCACAGCAGATCACTCAAAGTTAACTCTGTTAAATTTGTAATAAGGCATTTGGAGAAAGCTAAGAGTGCTACTACATTATTGTACATTTTTAGCTCTACTGGTCAGAGACCAGAAGAGCTTATGCGATAGTAATGCGTCCGTCGCCCATCCGTCTGTCTGTCTGTCCGTCCGTCTGTCTGTCTGTAAACAATTTTTCAAAATGCTACTCCTCCTACAGTTTTGGTCCGATTTCAATATAACTTGGCACACAAGTAGACTACACTAAGATACATAATTTTGTGCATCGGTTTTTGATTTCGATGAACGGTGTTGCCGTGGTTACTAAAAATAGAAATTTCTGTGAAATTCTTTCAAAATGCTACTCCTTCTACATTTTTGGTCTGATTTCAATATAACTTGGCACAAAAGTAGACTACACTAAGATACATAATTCTGTGTATCGGGTTTTGATTTCGATGAACGGTGTTGCCGTGGTTACTAAAAATAGAAATTTCTGTGAAATTCTTTCAAAATGCTACTCCTCCTACAGTTTTGGTCCAATTTCAGTATTACTTGGCACACAAGTAGACTACACTAAGATACATAATTCTGTGCATCGGTTTTTGATTTCGATGAACGGTGTTGCCGTGGTTACTAAAAA